GCTACTGTACATGTTTCGTAGAACAGAGAATTAAAATATTAGCCAGTTAAGCTATCAATCTTCTTATGATTTTTAATTTTTTCAAATTTTTATTGTACTTTAGAAGGTTTACAGCACAAACTAGCTTCTCATTAAACAATTAATATACATATTGTTTTGTGACAGTGGTTGCCAACCCCACAACATGTCAACACTCTCCCGTTCTCGACCTTAAGGTTCCCCACTACCAGCTTTCCTGTCACCTCCTGCCTTCTCATCCTTGCCCCTGGGTTGGTGTCACCATTTTGTTTTATGGGCCTGTCTAATCTTTGGCTGAAAGGTGAACCTCAGGAGTGACTTCATTATTGAGCTAAAAGTATGTCTTGGGGCCATACTCTTGGGGTTTCTCCAGTCTCCATCAGACTAATTAAGTCTGGTCTTTTTTTTTTTTTTTTTTTTTGTGGGTTAGAATTTTGTTCTACATTTTTCTCCAGCTTTGTCTGGGACCCTCTATTGTGATTCCTCTCAGGGTAGTCGGTGTCCTTATGACTTTTTATAAAGCTACGAAATTCTGTCCAGATCTAAGGAAGTTATTCTATAAGCACTCAAATGGAAATAAACTGATCTCAAAAAGAGCTGATTTTTCCCCCCTCAGAGCACATGCTATATCGATCACAGATTTAGGGCTGGATCCTAAAAGACCATGTCCTTTCCGGTCTCAATGTTAACACATAACTTACATTTATAAAACTCTCTGCAGTCTATAAATCACTGTCAATCAGGAGCCAATTACTATCCAAGACTTCTGAATACCAATAAAAGTAAGTTATATTGCTCATTAGTCTTACAACTCCAGTGGGCATATGTAAATAATTATTGGTTAATCAAAGACTAAATATTCAATATATGACTTCTCAAGTCCCTTGCTATTCCCTTTTTTTTTTTTTGGATCATATAAGTCTTTTATTTTGCAGGGTTTTTTTTTTTTAACTTTTACTTGAAATAGGTAATATTTGCACATGGTGAAAACTAAAATGTACAGAAGCAGAACGTAGTGAAAACTAGGTGTCCTCCACATCTTGTCCCGTAGCCACCCAATTTTCTTCCATGTAAGACACCACTGTTACTACTTTCTTGTATACTCTTCCAGAGATATTTTATGCATATTGAAGCAAATTCACATACCCACATATATTTTCATAAGTAGTAGCATAATAAACTTCTGAACTTCTCTTTCACTTAACAAAGTATCAAGGTATATTGGTGTTTTGGGGCTGTCATAGCAAAGTACCACAAATTAGGTGGTTTAAAACAATAAAAATTGATTCTCTTACAGTTCTGTAGCCTAGAAGTCTGAAGTCTGGGTATCAGTAGTGTTGATTTTTCTGATAGCTTTGAGGGAGAATCTGTTCCGTGTCTCTCTCCCAGCTTCTGGTGATTTCCTGCAATCTTTGGTGGCTATTCCTTCTTTATCTTATTTCATTTCTTGTGGCCATTTTCCTAGTCACTGGCTTTCAATTCAAGAATAAGAGTAATGGAAAAAAAATTTTAATGTCTGAACCCGCTGCTGTCAAGTCAATTCTGACTCATAGCGACACTATACGACAGAGTAGAACTGCCCCATAGGGTTTTCAAGGATGGATTCAAACTGCTGACCTTTTGGTTAGCAGCTGAGCTCTTAACCATTGCACCACCAGCACTGATACATTATCAAAAGAAGTTACCAGAGCTGGCCAAAATCTAAGACTATCATTTATCTATGTTTTCCTTCTTTGTCTCAGCATGAGAAAAGTCTCCACAGTTCTTCCCTTTAAATTTAGAAGGCAAATCTGTGATCCTGGCATACTGCTAAACAGAGATGGGCATATAAGAACTCACGGGAAGGCAAATAGAAGAGCTTCCTTGAGTTCTATCTTTAGGTTTAGAAGTATGCAAAGGAGATCAGTGAAGTAAAATGAGGTATAAAAATATATATGCCACTTAATGTCTGTTTAACATGACACTTTTAAGCAGTAGGAGAGCCAAAAGAATGGCTCCAATTTAGTCTCTTAGTTTCATTAAGGGGAAAATAATCTTATCCCATAATTAAGAAAGAAAGTTTTAGCTAAGAGATACATATCTGGATTCAGCTCGCTCCACATCAAAGATCCAGAAAATACAGTAGGAGTTTTAGACCTTTATTTATAGGCCCACAAAGTAAGGGGCTGAAAGAAGATAAGGTCTTAGGTATTTTAAGAATCAGATATTCCACAAGCTGGTTTTCAGTCTTTAAAAAAAAGACTTCAGATTTGTTTTAATAATTCTTTTAACTTTGGTCTCTCCCGTTCAAATAACTGGTTTGTAGATCCTGAGACGCATATCGTGTGCTATTCTTTTGATTATAAATCAATCACATTTCTATTACTGTATTAACAAAGCCTCTAGGGCTATAAAATAGAGCAGATGGGATGTTAACAGCAACAGCTGTTACATCAATGTCCAGGAAATTACATTCATACCATAAATGAATTTTACATTTTACATGCCTCAGTGTCTAATTTTTCAATGCCCCTCTCTGCCTTCAACACCAGCTTCCAACAGGCGATTAAACACAATATAAAAATAAATCAGTAAGATGCTACTGAAGTCATTAAGTGCCTACCTTGATGGCTTTTAGCTAATCAAATAAACCTTACTCCTAGTTAGTCTTGATAAGCTACACTAACCATTTTTAGGGTTAATTAGTTTAACTTTTTCTAATCCATTATTTGATTTTGTGGGTTTTTTGATTCTTGGAGTTTACAATCGTTACTAAATCAACGATTCTGAGGACGGACCGGGCAGTGTTTCGTTTGGTTGTACACAGGGTCTGTATGAGTCTGAACTGACTTGACGGCACCTAACAACAGAGTTTACAAAAAGCTCATTAGCAAATACAGCTCAAGCGTTCAAAAAATAAGTACTCTTTAAATGTTTATTACATGCAAGGCACTCTCTTAAGTGTTTCACAGGTATTCTAATTTACTCTTCATTATAATGATGGAGGTAAATGCTATTATTACTCACAATTTACAGATAAGGAAACAGTATAAAGTAATTAAGCACCTTGCCCAAGGTAAAACCAGCAAGAAGTAGAGCCAGGATTTCTTTAAATCTAGGCAGCAGACTTCAAAGGCCACACTCTTAATTACTTCATTCTTCAGTGTTATTCCTTACAAATGGAAGCACTGCAATCCCCTATTTTCTCTGGCTCACAACTAAAGCATTTATTAGAATATAATTTGTATTTAATGGCTGTTTAACAAGACATTCCCAGCTTAACTAGTGAGGAATCTTAGGGTCTTGACTTCTCGAAGATTAACACCAAGGCAGGCAGCTCAGAAAAATGGTTTACAGGTAGCATTTTAGTTTCCTTAGCAACTCAATTTTCCTGGATCAAAATCTAAATAAAATTAATTATGCCTTCTGTGGTGGAGCAAGGTCATTCTGATTCCCTTTGCCCCTTTAGCTGGAAATTAGGCAAAGGATTTTTAGTCTTAAAACAGAGAGGTATTGATGCCTCTGTAAAATAATCTGGTGAGATCAATCAATCTCACCCTCCTGAACTTCTTTAGGTAATTCTAGAAAATAACACCTCACCCATCCAAGGTGCTTTTTGGAAATTAAATTAACATTTGCCTATGTAGCCAATCACTTTCAGTGCCAGAATTTCTATTTTTCAGATATTCAGTGTGAATATCTACCATCTGGGCAGTTTATCAACAGTAGCTCTTCTCCATGGTTTATGGGATAATTAGTAAAGGAACAGACTGAAGGTACGGAAGCCTAACACTTGAAATCTAAACTAGTGGCAAGAGTTCCATTATATCTCAGAATAACACAGACTTCAGTAAACAGTTTGAACTGTTATTAGCATCAGCAAGCATTTTATGAGCTGGGATTATGGACTCAATTCCTGAATAAAGTGTAGGAAAAATTCTAACGATTGCCACTGGAGGCTTTTAGCAAGATATTTCCAAGAAATGCAATCTTTTATCTGACCTATGTAAGATGAGCATAAATGAGTCTCCCAGAAAAAGATCAAACTTTTTCAGACACTTAAAGAACTTACAGCTGTTTTATTTACTCACTTTTTATAGTAGCTACAAACTGAGTAGCTACTATAAAAAGAAACATTATTGAAGGCAAAAAGACGAATAAATCCGCAGAGCCAGCACTGAATAAGTTTACAACTTGGCATGAACCATACCAAGTGAAATGAGTCAGTATTCTCACAAAACAGCCCAAAACGTCGCCACTGGTTCCAGAATTGATTACCAATTTCCACATATAAAGATTAGTTTCTTCCAATATCTAACTCTTACTAGAAACCTGGATATTACTAGGGGAAACACCATTTCCTCCTCACACATACAGATTTGTTCCCACTGAGGCACTCAGGCACTTTACGAGACATCCCTTTAAAAGGGAAAACGCCTTCTGGTCTATGTAGTGTCTATCTGGCAGGGCCTTCCTCAACCAGCCAGAGAAGGCCAGATTTTCCTAGAGATCTGAGGAGTCAAACTAATATCCAGAAAGGGCCTTTGGTAATTACCGGGAGGTGCTAGCCTAATGAAAGAATTTGTGGGCGGGTCACTATCCCGGGCCACTCCAGATAACATTATTCATCCTAGGAGCAGCGAAACGTGGGAAAGGAAGGTCTGTACCCCATTCCCTTATCCTGACCTATTAAGTCAGCCCGGGCAAGGAACGACCAGCGAAGCAGTCCCGTGGATTCTTGAGGTCACCTCACAGCTGGGCTAAATGACGGCCTTGGCGGCTCTTCGCTGTCAGGGACCTCGACGAAGAAACCACCACACCCCTCATCCCTCACGGTCCGCCCAGGCCCTGTGACTCGAAGTCCAGCCAGGCCCCCGCGCCCAGATTTCTGTCACCGACGCGAGGTCTCAACGGGCCCACTCTGCACAGCTTTCCGGACCCTCATGTAGCCTCTCTTCCCTTTCGGGGCGCTCGCCCGCCCGCCCCAAAAGGTGCGAACTCACGGCCGCCGCGGCGCCGGTGAAAATGTCCTCTCCCTCAGCGTCGCTGTCCCCAGCCTCGGGTTCTGACCCCCCAGCCGCCCCCTCGGACTCCGGCTCCAGGCAGGGAAAGGGTGGAGGGAGTCTCTCCGAAGCGCTACAGCCACCACTACCGGACGCCATCTTTCTGCACCCGCGGCGGAAGCCGCAACAACAACTTTATAGAGAGATAGTGCCGAGAGCAACGCGTTCCAGCGAAGGGACAGACCCTGCGGGACCTGAGGGGCGGGGCTTAGGCACTGGGGGCGGGTCCGGGGTCGACAGCTCCTGCCCAGCAAATCCGAGCCCCGGGCCAGCACGCTGGGGTCTTAACGAGCGGGACCCAGAGGGCAGAAAAGGGGGAGCCAGGGGATGCTCTGGTTCCTATGGCCCTTTGTGCTCCGGACAGCTTTGGCTTCCTAGGGAGATTTCGTTTGACTACAGGAGTCTTATCCCTGGTGGCACAGTGATTAAGAGCTCGGCTGGTAACCATAAAGGTCGGCAGTTCGAATCCACCAGCTGCCCCTTGGAAACCCTATGGGGCAGTTCTACCCTGTCCTATAGGGTCGCTATGAGTCCGAATCGACGGCAACGGGTTACGGGTGGCTAAAAAGGTTTGAAAACCTCTACATGCCACCTACTGAGCAGAATTCCCTCAGAGAGATCCCATAAATGTTTCTGATTGAGGTCTCTAAACAGGCTGCATAAAGTCTCGCCATTTATTCTTTGGACAACATTCGGCTAATGCATTCAAGAAATACATATTGAGGATCTACTGTGTGCCTGGCACCCTCTATGCCCTTGAGATAAAGAAGCTCCTTGCTGATTAAGCGTTTACAACTTAATGAGGGAGGCAGGCAGGCATGTAAATAAACAATTCAACATGTTCAATGTTATGATGTACTTTGGGAGAACACTGAAAGAGATCACAGTTCTGCTCGGAGAAGTCGGGAAGCATCACAGAAGAGATAAAACTCAAGTGTCCTAAATTTGCTTGAAAGGAAGTTAGGATTATCCTCTAAATTGCTGTGGAGTGGAAATGGAGTGGAATAGATAGCAGGGAGATTATTAATCTCTAAACAAAATTATTCTGGGACTTAAAGTATTCACTGATTGTCTGGTGAGTCTACAATCTAAATTAGTTAAACAAGTAAGACTGGAGTTCAAAGATAAATGGGATATGTAATCATGGAATAATTCTGCAAGATAATCCTGACTTTCTTCTCAATAGAGATGAGATGAAGTTTGCAATCAACTTTGACAAAATGGTTTAGTTTGTTTCCAACTGCAAATTCCTCAACATCAGGGGTTGGCTCCCTCACAGGTCTGTAAGTCTCTTGAGGGTAGGGACCATGTCTTACCTATCATTGTATCCTCGGCGCCCACAGGCCGTGTCTGGGAAATTAAGTACCCAATAAATGTTTGAGGTTTGAAAGAAGGGATAGATAGATAAAACGTCTAACATTATCAACCTGGTTACTGGCATCCATCACGGACATGAGCACCAAAGGGCTTAAGACATTCTTTTTAGCATAGTGACCTCCAATCATTTCCCACCATCTCTTTCAGGGAAAGTTCTCTCGTTCTAAGTTGTCTTTGAAGGCACTTGGCAGAAATATTCAGTCCGTAGTTGTACTGTACTGAGGCCCTATGAGATGAGAAAACCCAAAAGCCTTCTCCCATCAACGCCTAAGTGGTCTGACTGGGTTCCCAAGACATGCCGTTTCACAGCAACGGAAACTCACTTCCGGCACGACCAGGAAGTAAGAAAGGTTTCGGCTGGAAGCGGCTCCCTCGGAGAACTAATAGTCCCTGGGCACATGCTTCTCCAGCACTAGAAACCAAAATCTTCTCTTCTCCTACCTCTTCAGGATTCATCTTTAGCTTATCTCGAGAGCTGAATGAAGCAATCAGTGGCGGGTAACAGACCGTTACACTCCCCACCCCCACCCCACCCGCAGCGGAAACTACAAGCCCCAGAATACAGCTCTCGCTCTTCCGAAGAAAACGACCATACGTCCCAACAAGCAATGCGCTTCGCGGGCGACGAGGTTTTTCCCTCTTGTTCCGCGGAAACTGAGCAAAGCATGCTGGGGCTTGTAGTCCTTGAGGCGCCCTTCCCTATGTCCTCCGCGCTACTCCGTCCGGTCCCGCCTATTCTCTGCTGCCCTGGAGCCCTTAGGCTTCTCTTGGCCGGTTTGAAGATCAGGAAGTTTTAAGTTCCGACACGGGCTGCTGAAAGACGGTGGCTCGGGTGGGACAGTCGCCAGGGATGGCGGAGCGTAAGGATGGAGCAGTTGTCCGGGCTGCTCTCCTGGACGCTGAGCAGAGTCCTGTGGCTCTCGGGCCTCTCTGAGCGGGGAGCTGCCAGGCGGCCCCAGATCATGGAAGAGAAAGCGCTAGAGGTTTATGGTAATTAATTTACCCGGGGCAGCGTTTGGCTTTATATGTGAAGGCGTGGTGGGGGGGGGGAGATAAGGGTCTCGCCTTGAGGGCTTGGAGTGGAGACCCGGGTTTTTGCAGGATTTCTTCGGGAGAGTGGGAAGCGTGTTTTCTGGGGTCGTAAGTCACGCGAGGATGTGGGAGGCCAGGGCTTTTTCTAAACGTGAGACAAGCCGAGCCTAGAGGTCTTAAACGCTTCATTCCCCTTGTCCACCCCAAGTCCTCGTGGCCACTCCAAGACTTTTGGGCGTGCAGGAATCCAGGGCGCTTGGTTAGGAAGCAAAGCTACGCCCAACCGCCTGAGTGCACTACTTGAGCCTTGCTTATCCCGAGTCCCTGGACACGCACTCCTGCTTCCGCCACGCCGAGGGCACTGGTAGGTGACGCCTGAGTTGGTGACTGGCCCAAGGTCACAGTCACTCTTCTGTGGCAAAGTCAGTAGGCAGAGGTCCCCGAGAAATGAGGACGAGACAGGCCCCTTATAGCAGGGCCTCAGGCTTACAGTTTGTTTAACACAGCCGTGAAACCTGGAGTCCTGTATATATATACGTTTTTTTCTTCAATATAAGTATTAAACATTTTCTTATTTTACCATTGAGACCTTCTTCACTGTACAGATGAGGAAACTAAGGCTTAGAATGCTTAAACAACTAGCTGGCGGTCACCCCCCCAGTAAGGATCAGAGTCCAGAGCCCAAACCTAGTGCACTTTCCACCACTTCTCTGTTGCCTCGTGACTCTCCTTTTTTGGGAATTATGTAGTGTTGTTTTTGGAAACTAAAAAGGTTGGATCTGATCTTCAGACATTCCTGCTGCCTGCAAGTAAAAGATCTAACCGTAAGAATACAAATCTAATTCAGGTAAGGGTTATAGAAGAAAGTTGGGAATGGGGAAGACTTTTGGAGCTAGTTTGCCTCTCTCTTGCTAGAGGCAGGTCTTACTTAATCAAACGCAATTCCAGACCAAACCAGTTGCTGTCCTGTGGATTCTGACTCATCGTGTGTTGCAGAGTAGCACTGAGCTCTGTAGGGTTTTCAAGGCTGTGACCTTTTGGACTCATGGTGACCCCATGTGTTGCAAGTAGAACTGTGCTCCATAGGGTTAAGGCTATTACCTTTCGGAAGCAGATCTCCAGGCCTTTCTTTTGAGGTCCCTGTGGGTGAGTTCTAACTGATAACGAGCGCTTAACCATTTATGCCACCCAGGGGCTCCTTCAGCAACCTTACCAAACTCATTGCAGTCGAGTCGATTCTGACACATAGCGACCCTGTAGGACAGAGTAGAACTGCCCCATAGGGTTTCCAAGGAGCGACTGGTGAATTTGAACTGCCAGCCTTTTGGTTAGCAGCCTGAGCTCTTAACCACTGCGCCTCCAGGGCGCCTAAGCAACCCGAGCCAGATGATAATTATGAGTGGAATGAGGTCTATAAAGCAGCTGGACACATGCCTGTCCTTCCACACGTCTGTCTACCACAGATCTAAGGGCATTGGGATGCGGCTTTGGAAGAGATGACTCTTTGCACTCAGACTTATACTGAGGGAAACCTATATATGCAAAAATTTCTGTAGTATGAAGTAGAAAGCTATAGTCTTCAATAAGAGACACAGAAATTCGGAGGAAGGAGAGATACTAATCTCTGATGGGAGGGGGGGATCTGGAAAAGCTTTAAGGAGAAGAGTCATTTGAGTTGAGTCTTGAGGAGTAGTGGGATCTGGATATGTAGAAAGGTGCCCTGGTGGCGCAGTCGTTAAGCAGTTTGGCTCCTAACAGAACCGGCAAGGTTCTAACCCACCAGCTGTTCCTCAGGAGAAAGATGCGGCAGTCTGCTTCCATAAAGATTACAGCTTTGGAAACCCTGTGGGACAGTTCTACTCTGTCTTATAGGAATTGACGGCAGCGGGTTTGGTTTTGGGTTGGTTTGCATCTGTCAAGGATCAGGGCGTACTAGGCCGGGGAAACTGTAGCACAAGTATGGAGATGAGAAAGTAGCATGTTTAAGGAATGGCAGATAGGTGGCGCTACAGGATAAGGTTTGTGATTAAAGGCAGCAGTGTGGTGGAAGGTTGTTTTAGATAATAGGTTGGAATTGGATATTGGAAGGTTTTAAATATACAAAGAATTTTGTATCAGTGCAGAGCCATAGAATAATTTTTGTCAGGGGAGTAATGTGAGAACAGCATTGCTTTCTTTATAAGGAAGTAAATCCAAACCTCTCAAATCATTAGAGAACTGGAGAAGTTTAATAAGGGGTGAGATTTAATTTCAGGGTTGAGTAGCATATGCAGAGTATAGTACAGCTTGTACAGATGAGCTTGTATGGAAGACATAGGATGAAGGGCAGAAATGTCCTTTTCAAAAACCCTGTTTCCCAGAGCCCTATGATATCACAGCCTTGAGAAAGAGCTTTTTCCTGCCTACATTTTCAAATTCTCGTGTTAATCAAGTCATAAGCCTAGGAGATAGCTGATAGAAGCTACAGTTTAACTGACTTGTTTTTCCCAGCTTCATTTCTGATCATAGGGGTGCTATGAATAATAGAAGAAAACCTCAGGCTTGAGAACATCAAGCCCATCCTACATGAACTCCCTCTGCTTCTCTTGTTTTCTGCGTCAGTATTTCTCTTTATCATTCTCCTTTTCTTCAGCTTTTTCTACAACTTAGAGTAAGAAGGAAATCTTGTCCCCTTTAAGGGCAACCCAGGTTCCCATTTCCTTGATTCCATTCTCTACTGAGTATTTATTAGTCCTTCCCTCCCCCGCCAACCGCAATTATATTTTCAACCCCTCTTCCTCTGTTTGGAGCCCTGGTGGCACAGTGGTTAAGAGCTTGGCTGCTAACCAAAAGGTCGGCAGTTTGAATCCACCAGCCACTCCATGGAAACCCTATGGGGTAGTTCTACTCTGTCCTGTAGGGTCACTATGAATTGGAATCCAATGGGTTCCTTTTTTTTATTTTTTTCTTCCTCAATTTGATCCTTCCCCTTAGGCTTTAAAACATACTCAAGTTTCCTTATCTTTGTCATTGTTCTGGCTTCCTCTTAAAGCTACTGTCCTTTCTCTGCCCTTCCCTTCCCTGCCAAGGCCCTAGGACTGCATTTTTAGTTCCCTCTCACTTCCACTCTTGCAAACTGGCCTCCACCTTCACCTCTCTGCTGAAACCGCTTTCTTACAGGTGGCAAATCAAAGACCTGTTTTAGATCTTGCCAGCCGAGTTTTTTCTGCGACATTTGATATTGTTAACCACCACTCTTCCCTTCTCCATTTCTTGCTTTTCTGTCTCCTCATCTCTAAATTAGGTGCTTCCCACTGGTCTGTCCTTGGGTCTCTTTCCCGTTACACCAGTGTTCTCACACTGTCCTGCACATAAAATAACCTGGGAGTTTTTAAAACTCTCAATGCTAGACCACACTCCAATTACATCAGAATCTCAGACATCAGTGTTTTTTTTTTTTAATATTGTGTTTTAGGTGAAAGTTGACACAGCAAATTAGGCTCCTGTTTAACAATTTTTGTACACATTGTTCAGTGACATTGGCTACATTTTTCACAATATGTCAACATTCTCATTATTTCCATTCAGCTTATTCTTTTTCCATTGATCTAGCTTCCCTGTCCCTCCTTAGCTTCTCATCTTTGTTTTAGGGTAAATGTTGACCATTTACCCTAAATCATATAGTTGATTATTTGAGGGAGCACAGTACTCATGGGTGATATTGTTTATTTAATAGGCCAATTTATTATTTGGCTGAAAGGTGACCTGCAGAAATAGCTTCAATTCCAAGTTCAAGGGGTATCTTAGAGTGATAGTCTTGGGGGTTCCGCTAGTCTCTATTAGTCTAGTAAGTCTGACCTTTTTGAGGAATTTGAGTTTTGTACTACATTTTTCTCCCTTTCTATTTGGGGCCTTCTGTTGTATCCCTGGTCAGAACGGTCAGTAGTGGTAGCTAGGTACCATCTAGTTCTTCTGATCTCAGGCTAGATGGGGCTGTGGTTCGTGTGGGCTGTTAGTCCTGTGGACTAGTTTCTTCTTTGAGTCTTTGGTTTCCTTCATTCTCTTTTGTTCCAGATGAGTAGAGACCAAATAGTTGTATCTTAGATGGCCACCTACAAGCTTTTACCCTAGATACTACTCACCAAACTAGAATGTGGAACATCATTTTTATGAACTTTTATGCCAGTTGACTGAGTTGTCCCACAAGTCTATGGTCCTCAGCCTTCAAACCTGGTAAACCAACCCTATGAGGTGTTTGGTTATGTCAGACATATATATGTATATGTATGTATATATATATATATGTATGCATATATTATTGTGCTTTGAGTGAAAGTTTACAATTCAAGTTAGTTTCTCGTACAAAAATCTATACACACATTGTTATGTGACCCTAGTTCCTCTCTCTGTACTGTGACAGCACACTTCTCCTTTCTACCCTGGATTTCCTGTGTCCATTCAACCAGCTCCTGTGCGTTTCTGCCTTCTCATCTCACCTCCAGACAGGAGCTGCTCATTTAGTTTTGTGTATCTACTTGAGCTAAGAAGCACACTCTTCACGAATATCGTTTATGTCTTATAGTCCAGTCTAATCTTTGTCTGAAGAGTTGGCCTCGGGAATGGTTGTAGTTTTGGGCTAACAGAGAGCCCTGGGGCCATGTCTTCTGGGGTCCCTCCAGTCTCAGTCAGACCATTAAGTCTTGTCTTTTTACTAGAATTTGAGTTCTTCACCCTACTTTTCTCCTGCTCCATCAGGGATTCTCTGTTGTGTTCCTTGTCAGGGCAGTCATTGGTGGTAGCCGGGCACCATCTAGTTCTTCTGGTCTCGAGCTGATGGAGTCTCTGTTTATGTGGCGTTTTCTGTCGCTTAGGTTAATATTTGCCTGTATCTTTGGTGTTCTTCATTCTCCTTTGCTCCAGGTGGGTTGGGACCAATTGATGCATCTTAGACGGCCACTCGCTAGCTTTTAAGACCCCAGACGCCACTCACCAAAGTGGGATGCAGAACATTTTCTTAATGAACTTTGTTATGCCAGTTGACCTAGATGTCCCCTGAAACCATGGTCCCCATACCCCCGCCCCTGCTACTCTGTGTTTGATTGTATTCAGGAAACTTCTTAGCTTTTGGTTTAGTCCAGTTGTGCTAACTTCTCCTGTAGTGTGTGTTGTCCTTCCCTTCACCTAAGATAATTCTTGTCTACTATCTAGTTAGTGAATGCCCCTCTCCCTCCCTCCCCCCCCTCGTAACCATCAAAGAATATTTTTTTCTGTGTTTAAACCTTTTCTTGAGTTCTTATAGTAGTGGTCTTATACAATATTTGTCCTTTTGCAACTGACTAAATTCACTCAGTATAATGCCTTCCAGATTCATCCATGTTATGAGATGTTTCACGGATTCATCATTGTGCTTTATCATTGCATAGTATTCCATTGTGTGACTGTACCACATTTGTTCATCCGTTCATCTGTTGATGGGCACGTAGGTTGCTTCCATCTCTTTGCTATTGTGGACAGTGCTTCAGTGAACATGGGTGTGCATATATCTATTTGTGTGACGACTCTTATTTTTCTAGGATATATTCCAAGGAGTGGGATTACTGGATAGTGTGGTACTTCTATTTCTGGCTTTTTAGAGAAGCACCAAATCTATTTCCAAAGTGGTTGTACCATTTTTATATTCCCACCACCATTTATTATTTTATGTTTTTTGGATTAATGCTAGCCTTGTTGGGGTGAGATGGTATCTCATTGTAGTTTTGATTTGCATTTCTCTAATGGCTAATGATCATGAGCATTTCCTCATGTATCTGATCTGGTAGCCTCCTGAATGTCGTCTTTGGTGAAGTGCCTGTTCATATCTGTCTTAGTCATCTAGTGCTGCTCTAACAGAAATACCACAAGTGGATGGCTTTAACAAGGAGAAGTTTATTCTCTGACAGTCTAGTAGGCTACAAGTCCAAATTCAGGGTGTCAGCTCTAGGGGAACACTTTCTCTGTTGGCTCTGGAGGAAGGTCTGTGTCAGCACGCTTCCCTTGGTCTGGGAGCTTCTCTGTGCAGGAACCTCAGTTCCAAAGGACACGCTCTGCTCCCGGCACTGCTTTCTTGGTGGTATGAGGTTCCCATGTGTCTGTGCTTGCTTCTCTCTTTTATATCTCAAAAGAGATTGGCTTAAGAAATTATCTAATCTTGTAGACCTCATCAGTATAACTGCCACTAATCCATCTTATTACGGCATAGTGACAGAGTTTACAACACTTGAAGAAATCACATCAGATTACAAAGTGGTACACAATCATACAATATTGGGAATCATGACCCAGCCAAGTTGACAGATACTTTTAGGGGACACAGTTCAATCCATGACAATATCCTTTGCGTGTTTTTTAATTGGGTTGTTTGTCTTTTTGTTGTTGAGGTTTTGCACTATATCTTATAGATTTTAGGGATTAGACGCTGATCGGATTTGTCGAAGCCAAAATTTTTTTCCCAGTCTGTAGGTTGTCTTTTTACTCTTGGTGAAGTCTTTTGATGAGCATAAGTGTTTGCTTTTTAGGAGCTCCCAGTTATCTAGTTTCTCTTCTCGTGTTTGAGCATTGTTAATTATGGTTCATATTCTGTTTATGCCTGTATTAGGGCTCCTAGCATTGTGCCTATTTTTTCTTTCATGATGTTTATCGTTTCAGATTTTATATTTAGGTCTTTGATCCATTTTGAGTTAGTTTTTGTGCATGGTGTGAGGTATGGGTCTTGCTTCATTTTTTGCAGATGGATATCCAGTTATACCGGCACCATTTGTTAAAGAGACTGTCTTTTGCCCATTTAATGGACTTTGGGCCTTTGTCAGATATGAGCTGCTCATAGGTAGATGAATTTACATCTGGATTCTCAATTCTGTTCCATTGGTCTATGTATCTGTTGTAGTACCAGTACCAGGCTGTTTTGACTACTGTGGTGGTATAATGCACATCAATATTTTTTTAAAGCATTCCTGGTGATTGCAATATTCAGTTTAGGTGGAAAAACTACTGTTCTCTCTCCTTTGTGAATCTCATGGGTTCGACAGTCACCGTAGCCTTGGTGTTCTCTTAAACCCTGTGCCACAGTTCAGTGTCTGCTGGAGAGTTCCACTAGATTGCCACTTCCAAAACCAAACCCATTGCCGTTGAGTCAATTCCTACTCATAGTGATCCTGTAGGACGAGCAGAACTGCCCCATAGGGTTTCCAAGGAGTGCCTGGTGGATTCGAACTGCTGACCTCTTGGTTAGCAGCCGAGCTCTTAACTGCTATGCCACCAGGGCTCCAGATTGCCCCTTAAGCACCTATAAATCATTAGGTATGAAATTGAGCTCATATACTCCTGCCTCCACCCAAATTTCTTCCTGGGTTCTCTGTTTTCTTTATTCTAGCACTGTTCTCCCAGACACTTAGACTTGAAATCTGAGTCATTTTTTCCCCCTCTTTCCTGTCCTTGTCTTCTGCACCCAAATAGTTACCAAATTCAGTTGATTCTGCCTTTGAAATTACTTATTCATTTGTCCCCCCTCTCTATTACAGTTGTCATGTATTTTAGGCCCAGCTTTTCAGCTGCTATTCCTGGCTCTTCTCTGTAGTTGTGAGTCTGCGTTGGTGGATGAGTTACCAGCTGATACAGTGCTGTCCATGTCACAGCATAATTCTGCTCATATCACTCCCTTGCTCACAGCCTCTTAGCTGCCCCTATTGCCTGTAGCCTGTTGTAAAAGACTCTGGGTGGTCTGGCCCAAACCTTTTATTCTACTGCTACTACTCCTTTCCCTTATGCTGTATTCCAGGCACCCTATTTGTTCTTCACTTTTCTTTGCCTTAAATGCCAGATGTTGAAATGTTATCCATACGTCTTGATACCACATTGTTCTAAGCTAAAGTTAATTCATCCTCTTGAGCTTCTGTGACACTTTTTTCATTCTTATTGTATTCTATCTTGATCTTTAACTGTTTAATAGTAATAATTGATAGTATTTATTTTTAGGTGTGTGGCTCTGTACAAAAAGCACTTTAAATGTATTGTTTAATTCTTACAACAACTCCATGACATAAGTTTTTGTCCTTGTTTTATAAATGAGGAAACTGAGGTTTAGAGAGGGGAACTAACTTGTCCAGGGTCATAAAGCCAGTAAGTGGCAGGATCTGAATTTCCGTCAGTCTTCAGAGTCCATCCTCCTAACCATTGCGCCACACCGGGTTTCCCTAAATGTTAGTGTCTCTGCCATAGTAGTGCCTAGCAGAGTTGTATACATAGTAACATTTCAATAAGTCTTTATGGAATGAGTGAGTTTAGAATCTTCTCTTATCAATGGCTGCTCCTTAACTTTCCCTTCGTATTTTAACCAGGTGAGCACGCCCACCTGAAATTGGTGCAACACCTACCTCTACTATCTTGTCGACCCTTCATATATTCAGTCTGGAAATGGGGCAATCCTGAAGTGTTAGATGCAAGAAACTAAATGTGGCCTAATAATAACACAAGAAAACAGTTTTCTCCAAAGGAAATTGGTAGTGCAGATTTTTGTTGGAAATCTGGGGAGTTGCTGTACTATTTGCTTAAACAGAAAGAAGTCAGTGTTTGGATTAGGATTGGCAAAATCACTCTTATTTAGAATATTCATTTTTTTTTAATGTCATACTTTGTCTTCAATGATTTTTTAGATTTAATTCGAACTGTCCGGGACCCAGAGAAGCCCAGTACTTTAGAAGAGCTGGAAGTGGTGACGGAAGGTTGTGTGGAGGTTCAGGAGATAAATGAAGACTACTGTCTGGTTATAATCAGGTTCACGCCGACAGTGCCTCATTGCTCTTTAGCGACCCTTATTGGTAAGATTATGTACTTCTGTGTTTTATTTTATATATAGATATAAGTTTTTTATGGTTAAATTTTTTTTTTTTTTAATTTTTCGTTGTGCCTTAGGTGAAAGTTTACAGAGCAAATCAGTTTCCCATGCAGTAGTTTGTACGTAAAGTGTTCCGTGACATTGCTGTCATTCCCTGCAGTGTCTCAGCACGCTCCCCATTTCTGTCCTAGGTTCCCATTTCCTCTCGGGGATCATTGTTTATTTTATGGGCCTTTCTGTAGTTTGGCTGAAAGGTGGTCTCCGGATATATAGATTTTTTAATTCTAAATTATTTTTGGTAATCCTGACCCCAAGTAACAATTTATACCATGTGTCACACTTTATGGTTTACATACATTCATCTTCTCTAGTCCTCACAATTAGCCTGTGAGGGAGTTAAAATATTATCTTCATTTTACAGATGAGGACCCTGAGGCTCAGAGTTTAAGTGACTTGCTCAGGATCATATGACCAGGAAATGGTGGGGCTGAGGCTCAAACCCAGGACTCCTGACTCCAAATCTGTTTCTCCTGTTGACATACCATGCTCCTCCTCTGATGTGCACGTGCCCGCAGTGAACGGGGTCAGCTTCTCTACTCAGTAGTGGAGGTTGGAGTGGGCATTGTCAGACTAGGACTATTGCCATCACCTCCTCTTTTCAGCTGGTCTGTTGACTTCTGTGCAGTGTGGACAAAGGTCCTGGTGGGAGGGCATTTTTGAGGCAGTTTTCCATTTGAGGGGATACATTTCCAGTGTTTTGGATTAGTTAGCAGTAAGATAGACAATAGGTATCTTTGAACATGCACTTTGTTATAAATAATGTAACGAGAATTTATTTCAAACGAAATGTTCGTCAGAAGGGGATTGATTAAATAAATTATAATGTGTATAAACAATAGGGAGTCGTGGTGGCACAGTGGATAAGCGTTCGCCTGCTAACCGCAAGGTTGGTGGTTCGAGTCCCAGCTGCTCTGCGGGAGAAAGATGCGGCAGTCTGCTTCTGTAAAGATTTACATCCTTGGAAACCCTATGGGCAATTCTACTCTGTCCTATAGGGTTGCTGTGAATCAGAATTGACTCAATGGCAATGATTTTTTTTTAATATAAAAAATGGAACAATAAACATTCTGCTATAAGAAAGAATGAAAAAACTGTCCGTGTATTGGTATGGGAAGATCTCTATGACATACTGTTAAGTGGTAAAAGCAAGAATAGTACTGCTACCATCTGTGTAAAAAAAGGCAACAATACGCATTTATATTTTAAAATTTTTGATTCATGGGAACATATTACCTTTTGAAAAATAAATTTATAAAAAGGATTGAAAAAGGAAAAAAGTAGAAAGGGTTTTCTTGTAAAGATAAGGGAATATCACAGGAACAAAGTACAAGTAGTTCTGCTGAGCCTCATGGGAATGAGGAAGTTGTCAGGCTGTGTGTGTGTGTCTGTCTGTCTGTCTGTGTCTATGTCTGTGTGTGTGTGTGTGTGTCTGTGTGTGTGTGTTTCGTTTCTGGAGGTGTATGCTCTCTTTAGTTTCTACCCACTCTGTTTATCTATGCCCCCATCAAAACTGCTACCAAATGGCAGCTTTGCTTCCTAATGGGTATCAGTAGTTTCCAAATCTGGTTCCATATTGCTGTCACCTGAGGAGCTTTTTAATACAGATTCCTGGAGCCTTCCACAAGCCCTAATTTAGTAGGGCTGGGAGTCTTTAAGGAGCCCTGGTGGTGCAGTGGTTAAGTGCTCAGCTGCTAATTGAAAGGTCAGTGGTTTGAACCCACCAGCCGCACTTCGGGAGAAAGATGTGGCAGTCTGCTTCCGTAAAGATTACAGCCTTGGAAACAAGTCCTACATATTTATTGAAGATGATTTAAAGTCCTTGTCTGCTAATTGTAACCTCTTTCTATTGACTGATTTCTCCCTTGGATATGGGTGGCATTTTTCTGCTTGTTCACATCTCCAAGAATTTTTTGTGTGCTGGACATTGTGGATGCTCTACTGCTGATGGTCTAGATTGTGTTGTCTTTCTTTAAGTAATGTTCAGTTTTGTTCAGGCAATTAATTTATTGGCAGATCATCTTGAAAGGAGTCTAGTGCAGCCTTTATTTTGGGGATAAGAGAGCTGTGTCCCAAGTGTGGCCCTCTGGGATCTCGTTTGAATGCCTGGGGTGTGTCGTGAGGTCTCTCTTCCATTCTGGCTGATCACAATCTTACTTAGCCAGTACTGTGTGACCTTCAGAATAGTCACTGAGCTCATACTTCCTGAATGAGTAATTGTTTTCTGTCAGGCCTCCCAGTCTCACCCTGCGCATGTGCAGTTCAGTATTTAGCAAAGATGCCTATGCAGATTTCAAGGACCTTTTTCTCTGTACAACTCCCTCTTCTTTGGGAGTCGTACAGAGGAAAATTTTAGCCAGTTCAACAGCCTCTGACTCTGAGCTCTGCCTCCTCAGTTCTGCAAGACAACTTGGGCTCTGCCGTCTTGTACTGCAGTCCAGAAGGTACCACAGGCGTAAAGCCACGGAGATCATGGGGCTCGCTTTGTGTGTTTTCCTTCTCGTGGGGATCATGTCCTGTGTTGCCTTGGGTCCAGTGTCTGAAAACCGTTGCTTCGTGTATTTTGTCTGGTTTCTGGTTGTTTATGGTCAGTAAGCAAGTCCAATACCAGTTGCCCTATAAGGGCTGGAAGGAGAAGTCTCAGACCTGGGATTCTGTGTTAAAAACAAACAAAACTTCCCAGTTGGTTTTTATGAACGGCCAGTCCTGTACCAGCTCCAGGTTTGGCATTTGGGAATCACTAATGTAAATGTTTGACATAAGGGCACTACAGAGGGAAGAATTTAAGTGCTTCCTAGGGTGTTAATAATGTGTGTATTTAGACTGTATTCCCTCAGGCTAAAGACAAAAAACAAACCTCTAAACAAATCTTGAACTATAATTAATAGGTTTCTTTTTCACAGAGGCTAGCAATCCCAAACGACTTTCTGTGCATTCTAGGATTCAGCAAGTAACTAAATATACTACGATCGGTGGGAGCCAGGTTTCTCCCATTAGAGAACAGTTACAATACGGAAAGGGGAAGGATAGAATGAACCCAGTGGTGTGGGATTGGAATTGAAGATCCCAGTGTGAGCTCATTGGGTTAATACATGTAGATAGCTAGATGTAGAAGTAGATGTGGGATATGAATAGAAATGGATATAGATGTATGTGGTGGCTATATGTGTGTTTATGATACATGTGCGGGTGGGTGCATACATATGTGTGTGTGTGTTTTTTTAATCAAATATAGATGATCCTGGAACATCTTGTGCAAATAGTAAGTGCTCAAAGAATGATGGGGACATTTCAGAAGTCACAGCTAATGAATAGAATAAGAGTCCATGAGTCCACATCAATATAAATGAATAAATAAATGCTGTGGGCAAGCTCTCATAGTAGAATTTCAGCTAATGTAGAAGGAATGATGGAATTAGAAAATCACCACTTGGCAGCCAATCTTGATTGATTCAGGCAAGAATCAGTGGGGAAAGTGCAGTAACAGGATATTTAGTAGTCTCAGAGTTTCTCACCACGAGATACTTACTGATCCTGAGGGTAAAATAGTGATTTTAAAGTGGAGAAACCTGCCAGACAGCACCCTAAGCAAGTGATCAGAGTTAACAAACGCCACTAATGAGAGTAACTGACAGTATTATACATTCTGATGTGAGCATTGAGAAGAACTCAGCATCACTTCTTGGTATTCCTGATAAAAATGCATAATCTGAACCTAATTAGGAGGCAGTAGCAGGCAAACCCAAAACAACCGGTCTGTACTCTTAAAAATGCTAATGGCAGGACATACCAAGAAAGATTGAGAAACTGTTCCAGATTCAAGGAGGCTAAAAAAGTATGAAAAAACCCCGGTAGCACAATGTTTAAGCGCTTGGCTGCTAACCGAAAGATCACTGGTTTGAACCATGGGCTTCGTGGGAAAAAAGACCTGATGACCTGCACCTGTAAAGATTACAGCGTAGGAAACCCTATGCGGCCGTTCTGCTCTGTCCCATAGGGCCATTATGAGTTGGAATCAACTCGATAGCAGATAACAGCCAAGAAACATGACCACTGAATATAGTATATGATCTTGGATTTTCTTTTGCTATAAAAGGTATTAGTGGAACAGTTGGTGAAATGTAGTAGTAGTATACTGATATTAGTTCTCTGAGTCTGTTAGTACTGTGGTTATGTAAGAGAATTTCTTGGCTTTAGGAATACACTGAAGTATTTAGGGGTAAACTCTTAAATGGTTCAGAAAAAAAGAAATGACTCTATTTAGAGAAAGACAAAAATAAATAAAGCAATGTAAAATATTAACATTTGAGGAATCTGGGTAAAGGATCTTTGAGTTTTTTGTTTTTTTTTTTTTTTTTACTATTCTTGCAACTTTTCTCTAAGTCTGAACTTGTCCTCCCCCGCCCACCAAAAAAAATAAAAACAGAAATTGTGCGAAACAGAAATTGTCCCCAAACTAGTGGTCTAAATTAGAGTCATTTTAAGGGCCAGTTCTCAGGCATATGAAATAGCTGAATGCTTCACATGTCTGCTACAAGTCAGATCAGTATTTTATTATTGCTCCCACTCTTGCTGTGATTTCTCTGCTCCCTCGTTGACCTGGTTTCCCTCTCTTAGTGGTTTCCAGCCTGTGGGCCACATTCTGAAGGACTGGAGGACCCTGAAAGCACAGATACTCTGTGATTGTTAAAGCAGCCGTGCTAGTAAAAGCATTAATGAACACACAGCAGTTTTTTGTGTTAGACAATTTCTGAATCAACAGATATTGAAAGTACTGCTACTATCCTGATGTGGAGAGAGTGTCTTAAAAATACCTTGACACTAAAAAAGAACCTTTAAATAGGTGGGGTCCACTACCCTACTCCAAGAGCCTGTAGCAGATCCATTTTTCAAAATTAATATTTTGTGCTTTTTAGATTATAAAAATAATGTGTTTCATTGGCAATAATTTTGAAACTCCACAAAAGCATAAAAAAAAAAAAAAAAGAAAAACCAGCCATCATGAAAGAATGTATGTTCTGGGCCAAAATCCTAGCTCAGTCAGCTCTGCCACATTGTAATGTTGGGTAAGGTTGTTAACCTTTTTGAGCCTCAGTTTCCTTATCTGTAAAGTGGAAATGATAAGGGTATCTATTTTCAGAGTTGTAAGAATTAAGTACTAGAATGAATGAAATATATGAAGAATGCTTTTTATTTCTCATTAAATATTATTGTTTAATTACATAGTCATAGAGGTTACATACTAATCATATACCAAAAAACAAAAAAAAAAATCCATTGCTGTTGAGTGGATCCTGACTCAGATCGAGCCTATAGGACAGAGTAGAACTGTCCCTAGGGTTTCCAGGGAGCGGCTGGTGGATTTGAACTACTGACCTTTTGGTTGGCAGTTGTCATGGTTTGAATTATGTCCCCGCAAAAAAATGTGTGTATCAGTTTGGCTAGGCCATGATTCCTGGTACTGTGTGATTTTCCTGTATGCTGTAAACCTGCCTCTATGATGTTAATGAGGGAGGATGGGTGGCAGTTGTGTTAGTAAGTCAGGACCAGATCTACAAGACTGGATTGTGTCCTGAGGCAATGTCTTGAGATATAAAAGACAGAAGTGAGCAGTGAGACAGGGGGACCTCATAACATTAAGAAAGCAGTGCCAGGAGCAGAGCGCGTCCTTTGGACTGGGGTCCCTGCGCCGAGAAGCTCCTAGTCCGAGGGAACACTGATGAGAAGGCCGACAGAGAGAAAAAGCCTTCCTCTGGAACTGACGCCTTGAATTTGGACTTTGAGCCTACCTTACTGTGAAGAAATAAATTTCTCTTTGTCAAAGCCATCCACTTGTGTTTCTGTTGTAGCAGCACTGGATGACTAAGACAGGAGTCGAGCTCTTAACCACTGTGCCGCCAGGGCTCCACATAGATATACCATAATTTTTGTAACTATTTAGGCTACTTCTAGCCTTTCATAATTATACATAATATTGTGATGGACAACTTTATACATAAATCTTTTTATACATCTCTAGTTATTTCCTCATAAATTTCCTGTGAGTAGAATTATTGGGTCTGGTGGTGTAAATATTTTTAAGCCTCTTAGTACATACTGGCAAATCCTTTGGGAAAATACTTTAGCACTGTGTGCAAAGAATCGTTAAAAAGTTTATACTCTTTGACCCAGGAATTAAGGAAATCATTTCATAGCAGAAAATAGTAACATGTACAAAACATTCGTAGTAAATTTATAGTAATGAAACCTGGACAAGACTGTCATATCCATGAATAGGGAAAGGGCACCAATATGATGGAATTTCATATTGCTGTTGAAAATAATAAATAGAACCAAGGACTCAAAGTATCTGTGAGAAATGTTTGAAAAAGCTTGAATGTTGAATTTGTGTTATGATTACAGTTATAAAACAAGCTGTGTTTATGTGGACAGAAATTGAGAGAGAATATGAAGTGAAAATAATTGTTAGGTAAGACTGGTGAAATTATGATTTATATTTCAGACATGTACACTTCTTGAGCAAAGTTTTGTCGCTTTTTTGGCCTGTTATATGTTTCAAAGGGTAATAAGTTATATATCACAGTAAATGTGTTCAGTGAACACGATTGGGAAACTTAGCGAAACCCTCTTGCTGGTTGCTGTGCTGAGGGCGTTTCTCATGAGCAGGCAGTTCTAGCAGGGAAAGGGGCCTGAGGAAGCCGCCTTGGTTGCTGAGGTTGTCACCTACCCCGTTACCCTGGTGAGCAATTCCGAAGACAAGGGAGACTCAAAGGGGACAGGTGGGGAAGGCAGGGAGACCAGTGGATATTCGTTCATGTTGACTTAGCCCAGAGAAGAATGGCTGAAGGCAGCTGTGGTAGGTTGTGGAGGGCATAGCATTTGGAGTCAGAAGGTCTAGATTCAGCTCGCAGCTTTGCTGCTTGTTGGCTGTGTGATGTTGAGAAAATCACTTATTTTGGTTTCTTGGCTATAAAATGAAAATGATAAAATAGTAATAGCTAACATTTATTGGACACTTATTATGTGCCAGGCACTGTTCTAAGCATATTACATAGCAATTTATTTACCTGTTTTACAGATAAGAAAACTGCAGCTCAGAGAAGTTAAGTAACTTGCCCAGGATCACACAGCTAGTGTGAGGAAAAGCCAAGTTTTGAACGTAAAGCATCTATCTCAGTTAATTCTGCTTCCCTTGAGGATAATGGTGCTCAGGAAAATGCTTTGTAAATTATGAGACAGCTATTTACTTTATGGGAGAAACATCTGCCGACAGTGAGTGTAACGGAGAGGGTGCTCAGATGGTACACAAAAACCAACTAAGGAGATAAGCATGGGGACAGGGCGAGGAGAACTCCTCCAGGCATGCTTTAAGGCAGATCTGCTAAAGGGAGCCCCGCTTAAGGAAATGACAGGGTGTCTTGAGAGCCTCCTGATATTTGTTATAGAACTGCTGTGTGCCAGGCTCTGAGCTAGGCCCAGTCTGGCTCCAATCTCATTTTATCTCATTGAATTCTTTTTCCTAGTCTGGGGCTTTTCAGACGATTCTGTTAGATAACCTAATGGTGCTTAGAAGACCAAAAGCAAATTAATTTCCTACCTCCCAAAAAGATAGGTAGTCTAGCAGTTATATTTTACGGAGTTGGGACAGTTTGGGGTTTTTTGTTATTGTTTATTTTTAGTCAAACCAAAATACTAAGAAAATGTTCCTGATAGGATCACAAGCCTTTATGTATTTTTTGGGAGAGGAAATAAACTTCTCCAAGTAAAAGCCTGCAAAGCCAGGGGTCTAGAGAGGTACTGTTCATTCTGACTCTGCTTTTTCAAAACTCATCACTGAAACACTCTCTCTTCATAATAAGAATGGTTTGATTTCTCTTCTGCTGTCTAGCAGTATGGATTTAGTTAAAAATTCATTCCTTAGTTTGAGGTGGGGAAGAAGTAGAACATTGCCAGTAAGGATCAAGCCCAGTTTTAATTTCTGCTTCAAGTCTCAACTGGAAAAAATATTGAACTTAGCGTTGGGGTGATCAATTGAACTTCAGAGGTGCTTGTTTTAGGGAAATAGTTCTATTTGTATCTTGCAGATATAGAAGATTCCAAATTTGAGAGGTTTCTTGTGGCCCTTTTTAAGTGGCTCTTACTTAGTTTTACTTTTTTGCGTGGCCTGGCTGGTTGTGATTATCTCAGTAAAGTTTGATGAATGAATCGACCTGTGCTTGAAGACAGATTGATGTAGTATAAAGGGCCTGGGTTTTGAAGTGGTCTTGGCTTTCCATCCCAGCTTTGCCACTTTGTTATACACTGTCCTTGGGCAAGTTACATTGTGATCTGCGTCTCAGAATCTGTAAAATGGGGCTGGTAATACCCATCTCACTGGATGATCGTAAGGAATAGGTAAGACTAAACGCCTAGCGTAGTGCATGACTCGAAGGAGACCCTCAATAGGTGTTAACTTTCCTCTCTTCTTTTGGAGGGAGCCCTGGTAGCACAGTTGTTAAAGCACTTGGCTGCTAACCAAAGGTCAGTGGTTTGAACCCACCAGCTGCTCTGCAGGAGAAAGATATGGCAGTCTGCTTCTGTAAAGATGTACAGTCTTGGAAACCCTGTGGGGCAGTTCTAATCTGTCCTGCAGGGTCGCTGTGAGTCAGAATCGACTAGACGGCCGTGGGTTTGGTTTTTTTGCTTATTTGTTCCTTTGGAGTCACTAGCAGGGCCAGCAGCCCAGGATCTCTCCTGTAAGTCCCCAGGGGTATCCTCACTCCGCACACACGATGGTGAGACAGAGATAGCATTTCAAACCCCTGGAGTGAGCCAAAGCTGTCTTCAGCTCTTGGATGGTCTGGAGACGTGTAGATGCAGCTGTATGCTTTTTCAAAAACCAACCAGAAGAAATAATTGGAGCTTTTTTTTTTTTCCTCCACAGGGCTGTGCTTAAGAGTGAAACTTCAGCGGTGTTTACCATTTAAACATAAGGTAAGGATGACTGACTTTTCTGTTGTTTTCAGTAATAGTTTTATTGAGATACAATTCACATACCATATACTCCACCCATTTAAACTGTACCATTCAGTGGTTTTCACTGTATTCACAGTTGTACAACTATCACTACTATCAATTTTAGAACACTTTCATCACCCCAAAAGAGACCTTGTGCCCCTTAGCAGTCACTCCCCATTCTTCCCTCTTCTCCCTACCCTAATACCAAGCCCTAGTCAACAACTAATCTCCTTCTTTTTTTTCTTCTTGCAATTATTAGCTGAAGAAAAGTGGGTTGTTTGTGGTTCCCGAGCCCTGGAATTCACCCTTTCCTACAGTCTGGATGCTGTTGATTTTTATCCCCATGTCATTTTACACATTCCTTTGCCCCTTGTATTTCCTGTAAATTGTAGTTAGATCAAGATGCTTGATCAGATTCATCGTATTTTTTTTTTTTAAGCAAGCTCATTTCCTAGGTGGTATTGTGTACTTCTTATTGCCTCACATTAGGAAACAGGATATCTAATTATCTGTCTTTTTGTAATGTTAAAATTGATCAGTGGGATCAGGTGTCAGCCTGATCTATCTATCCATTGTAAAGTTCCCTGTCAGCTTGTCATTTTATACTTTTAACAGCCATTGATAATCATTTCTAGAATAACTCTAGAATGAGTTAGTGTTATGCCACTAAGGGAATGTATGTGGTGCTGTGTCTAAAGAAAGAGTAAAACGAGATGATCTCTAAGGTCTTCTCACACTCTAATAGGCTGATTATTTTCACTCATGAGAAGCATTTAGCTCAGTAGTAAAGAAGAATTAGTTCATATGCTGCAGTGTTTTCTGGAAAGTAGACATGCCTTTATTTATCATTCCACTACCACCCATTGCCACTGAGTTGATTCCAACTCATAGCAACCCCATATGACAGAGTAGAACTGCCCCATGGGGTTTCCAAGGCTGTAATCTTTACAAAAGCAGACTGCCATATCTTTCTTCTGTGCAGTGACTGGTGGGTTTGAACCGCCTACCTTTTGGTTAGCAGTCGAGCACTTAACCATTGTGCCACCAGGGCTCCTTTATATATTAGCATATGCTTTATTTGCCAAAAGATTTGCAATAATTTTGTGTGTTTGTCCCAAAAGCTCTGGTTCGTGGCGGTTAGCTAATTTGAAGGGGTACAGCAGGGCCAGAAGGGATAGTTTAACCAATATAATACTTGAGGATAAATTTAGCAAGGTAACAGTGAATGAGAAAAGGAGGATGCTGGAAACTGTACATATTGTGATCCTGTTTTTGTAAAACAAGCAAAATGAAAAGAAACCTCCAACCATGATGTATATGATATGTATGTATGCATGTATGTGTGTGATATTTATGTATACATGTATATGTGTGTATGCACGTATGTATGTATAATCTGTGTAAGATTATGAGTATAGAGAAAAATACGGAAGAAATTACGTTAGATTGCTAATGTGGCTTTCCTGGAGGATGGGGCAGGAGGAAGTTAGATACTGATTTGGGAGGAAAAGGTAGAAACTGGGAGAGCAGTGTATCCATGAGTAAAACAACAGGTATGAGATCTCGTTTGTGTAAAATCATATTTGTGTGTTGTTGTTGTTAGGTGAAATTGAGTCGATTCCAACTCATAGCAACTCCGTGACAGAACAGAATTGCCCTATAAGTTCTCCTTGGCTGTAATCTTTACGGGAGCAGATCGCCGGGTCTTTCTCCTATAGAGCCGCTGGGCAGGTTTGAACCACCAGCCTTTCAGGTAGCAGCCTAGTGCTTAACTGTTGTGCCAGGGCCCCTTACATTTGTGTGTATATAGAAAAAATTAATGGGAATGCCCCATACGGCCCTTCCCCAGTTGAGCGAAATAAATAAATAATTTCAGTCCTTGTTTTAGAGAAGAACATGAGGGCCTGGTCCCTAAGTCTTGGACACTGGAGACAGAATTGGATTTACATCCCTAGACTCTTAAGTCCACTGGTCATTCCCCCTCACTTTCATCTTCAGATGCTTTAATGTTTGCTTTTAATATATTTTCTTTCTAGTTGGAAATCTACATTTCTGAAGGAACCCACTCAACAGAAGAAGACAGTAAGTGAATCCTGACATGTAATAAAAACTTCAGATAGTACTCTATGCTGGATACCAGATCCTTCTGCCAGCCAAGTGATGCTTGCAAAAAAGTGGAAAATGGGTTCTTAGCGTTTCTTTCACAGACAGAGAAACCCAGACATTTCAAGGAAGTAATTTTTTTTTCAGGATTACATGATGGGGCTGTGGTCGAAATAGAGCCAGGCCCTGTGGGTGCTGACTGGTTTAGGCCAGTGACCGCACACCTGTAAAGAGTATCTAGCTCTGGGGACCTTGACTTGTGCTCTAAAGAGGGCTCAATTCTTATCTTTAGTGGAAGGACAGACAGGTGTGTCCTTGAAAGTCAGTGAATTTGATGGGTCCTAGAAAGTCTAGCAAGTAAAGCTTTAGAGAATCTTGGGGTTGGTGTTCTCTCTCTGGGTTAATAAATCAAGTGAGAGTAGGGAACCTTTTTTATATAGCGGACCACTGGTCTACAGAGAGAAGTCAACCAGTAGCTACTTAAAAATAGCAGAGGCAGGGTTTGGGGAAAGCAAAGGACGAAATGTTGTACATGACCTACGTGTTACATTAAAAACAGAGAACAGAGATTTATCTGCAAACGATACAGAGCAAATAATGAGAAATACCTTTACAATGCATGTTGTGCCTTACTTTCATCGCTAGGTGAATTGAGAAGTTGGAAAACGACAGCAGAGCAGGGGAGGAAAGGCGCAGTTGTTGAGTAAGAGCGGCAGTAAGATAGATATGCAAAGTAGGACAGGGACTCTGAAAGGCACTGCAGGGACAGGGAGAGATGCACACAAACACAGACACGGAAGAGGTGCAGAGAGGGAAGCCCACTGATTTCAGAGGAGCAGCCAGCGAGGTGCTGCCGTGGAAACTTAAAACCATGGTCTGGGTTTACAGTTCCAAATGTGTAGATTATTTTACTCCTGATGGGCTACATTTATTCAACGGCCATAAGCCAACGGCGTCTACTTCTTAATTCAAAGAATAAAAGAGGTACCCCTAAATCCACCCTGGAGCCCTGTTGGCACAGTGGTTAAGAGCTCGGCTGCTAACCAAAAGGTCGACAGTTTGAGTCTACCAGGTGTCCCTTGGAAACTCTTTGGGGGCAGTTCTCCTCTGTCCGATAGGGTCGCTGTGAGTCGGAATCGACTCGACACCAGTAGGTTTGTTTTCTTTTTTAAATCCACCCAGGTCATCCTTTTGAAACACCTCTTATAGAATCTGATAACATTAACAGTATTAAGCCTTATGATTATGTTTTTTATTGTTATTATTTATTTGGTAAGTAATTATTGAGTGCCTCCTATGTGTAGGCACAGCTCAGCCTTTGAGATACGTCTTTATCCTTGTGGAGCCTGTGTGGTAGCAGGAAGAAACAGAATGAATTGAAATTGTCTAGATAGGGATATATGTTTTCTTCATAAGGCATTTTAGCAACATTCCAGAAAAGTCAGTCTGTGTTAAAAATATAGACATTTCTCTTTTGAACTTTTCCATCCAAGAGTACAATTAGCAAATTATAGACAGCAGTACCTTTATTATGTGAAGTGTCATGCAGACTGAATTAAAAACAAAAAATGAAAAAAACACCCAGTAGATTAAGAGGAAGAGACATGAACAGAAAATTCTCACAAGAAGGACTATAGACATGGGAAAACGTTCTGTCTCACTCGTCATCCAAAACCCCTGGCCGCTGAGTCAGTTCCAGCTCATAATCCAGGAAATGCAGGTTACAACGATCATATGGAGTCATTTTTCACGTGTGTGTGTGTTTAATGGTAGGTATTGCTGGCAAACTTGATACACTCATGTATTGCTGTTGATGTAAATTGGTAAATAATTTTGGCAAGTAATTCAGTGATATGAATCAAACCATAAAAATACTTGTACTTTTGATCTAATAATCCCACTTGCATGAATTTTTCCAAAACGAAGGCTGTGTGTTTAAAGGTGCTCATTGTTGCGTAGTCTTCATAATTAATTTACAACACTTGTAATTTTTGCCATGTTAAATAACCCCGTAGTTTTGGAAATGTGCTTAAGGGAAAATACAGCAATTTTCAAAATTGTGTTTACTCAGAATATAACTATGTGAGAATAGGTATATGGACAAAGACTGTAAAGAAAGAAATTAAAACAGGTGTAGCAGAGTGGTAGGATTGTAGGGGATTTTTTTTCTTTCGAGTCTGCCTTCCAGACCTTGGAAATTGCATTATGAGTAATTAGCCAACAACAGCTTCATTTAAGTTCTCAAAGAGTTAAATAGGAGGGTGAATGTTTCACCAGGCTAATAAAAATGCTATCTGTCCCTCCCTACTGACACAGTTCTGCTAACTTTTATCTGTGTGTTTTGCAGTCAATAAGCAGATAAATGACAAAGAGCGAGTGGCAGCTGCAATGGAGAACCCCAACTTACGTGAAATCGTGGAACAGTGTGTCCTTGAACCTGACTAACAGCCGTTTTAAGAGCCATTGAACTGTAATTATTTGATATATTTGTTTAAACTCTTTGTAGAGTGTAAAAGAGTCATGTTTAATACCTAGGTGATTTGTGCCTCAGAAGATTTTTTTAAAGGATTATTTCCAAGCAAGATTTAATTGTAAGGTAGTACCTAGTTTGTTCAGTGGATAACCTTCTCAGGATTTGTAACACTTAAGTGATTAGACAGAAATATTTTCTAGTTATTATGTGTAAGATGAGTTACTATTTTTCTGATGCCTATTCTGATACAACTACTTTTCATGTCAAATGTCTGCTGTGCCCAGATATATTCAATTGAAGTCATTGTTCTGTAAAATAGAAGTAAACCAAGATGATTCTTACAGTGATTCGGTTTAGAATGTTTTTATTCAATAATAGATTTTGGTATAGATGTCAGTTCCTTAAAGATATTTCAGAAGCTTTATTTTTGCTGATTATGTAGAGTCAGAAATCTGAGTGGAAAGGACCCTTAAGAGAGCATCATGTCTAGGCCCTGCCTTCCTGCGAGGAGAGTCCTGGACCCGTTTATAGATGAGGAACAGATGTGGAGAGGCCAGATGGCACATCCAATTTTGGAGATCAAGAAGTTCCCTCAAGAAGTTTAGACTAAACCAATCTAAATTTATGGTCTGTTTTTCATTTGTAGTTCAGTTTGCTCTAGGGGATAGTGGCCATTTAAGTGTAAAAAGGTTTGGCTGGAGGCAGAAGAAGGTTTGGTAGGAAGCCTCCAAGATGGCCTCCAATGATCTTTGCCTCCTACTCCTCACGCCTTTGTATAGTTTTTTTTTCATGTTTAATCAGAGCTGGTCGGTGTAACCAACAAAGTATGGCCGAAGTGACAGTGCATGACTTCTGAGGCTATGTCATAAAAGGTGTTGCTATTTTCACGTTGGTCTCTTGTATTACTCATTCTGCGGGAAGCCAGCCACCATGTCGCAAGGACACTCAGACAGCCCTATGGAGGATCCCACGTGGAGAGGAACGGAGACCTCCCACCAACAACCAGCACCAACTTGTCAACCACATGAGCGACCCACCTGGGAAGCAATTGTCCAGCTTCAGTCAGGCCTTCAGATAACTGCAGCCCTGGCCAACATCTTGACTGGAACCTCATGAGAGTTCCTGGGCCAGAACTGCCCAGCTAAGCCACTTCCAAATTCCTTATCCACAGAAGCTTTGAGAGGTAATAAATGTTTATTGTTATTTTATGCCACTAAGTTTTGGGGTGATTTGTTACGCAGCAATCAGTAATGAATGCACAAGCTATTAGAATGGAACTCTTCCTGCCTCACATTTAATTGAGAATACTCGGGGGAACAGGAGAACCTGTTCTGTGGTTTTTGAACCCCTTTGTCTGCTTCAAGAATATGTTTTGAGAGACTTTGGTGAGAACACTGTTGAAGAGGTTTCTTGAGATAAAGCTGGTGTTGTGCTGAGTCCCTACCTCCATTTTGGCAGAACGGTGGGGATGTCATGCCTTCTACCAGTATCTGCTAAGCGGACAACTCGGAGAGTTTGGAAATATGTCCTCTTCAGGTGGGAGACCCAGAACACTGATGCCTGGCTCGGGCCTGAGAAAGAAACCAGAAGTGGGCTGAAGGCTGTGGTCTGACTCCTGCCTGGGAAATCCAGAGGGCAAGAGAAAGGCCAGGCTGACTGCTTTCATGGCAGAACCCTCATGCCAAACGGTACATGAAAGTGTCTCGTGGACCCTGCTGTGGTTTTGTACTTGACACTGTCCAGCAGGCCATCAACAGGACGAAGGAGACCTCAGCAGAAAGGGTCTGGACATGTCCCACCTGGTGCCCAGGGACTGAGGAGAGGACAGCAGGTGGACAGCCAGGGTGGAGACGCACCTGCTAGGGTCAAGGGCAGAGCAAAAACCTCTGCTAAGCCCACGAGAGTGCCATCGCCAGGGAAGAACCGGCTCTGGTCACCAGGCAGGCGCAGAGAGCACAGAGCCAACCAGCTAAGTGAGAACTGCCCTATCTCTTTAGCTCTCCTTGAGCTTCCAAGGCAGCGGTAGAGTAAATAGCAAATGGGGAAGCTGAAGAAGAGGGGAAAAGAGCAGAGGACTCCATCCCATTTCTCCATTGTAGGGTTCAAGCCTGAAGCAAGCCCAAGTTAGCTAAAGATTTAATGCCGAGTTTGTAGTTTTGACTATCAGATGCGACTGAATACGTAAATGAGATTGTGTGATTAAAAGTGGCAGGAGGACTTGCCCCACAGAAGTCGTGTGTCTGCCCAAATCTTTATCCATGGACAGAGGAGGATGATGGCCCCTCAACAAAGTTTAAAAGAATAGTGGGAGACAAAAATAAAACATTTTTTTTGGGTGATAAAATATATATAACAAAAAAATTGCCATTTTAATCATTTTTAAGTGTACAATTCAGTGACATTAATTGCACCATGTTGCACTATCCATTTCCAGAAGTTTTTCATCACGCCAGCGGACACTCAGTACTCCTTCAGCAGTAACTCTCGTTCCCGCCTCCCCCGGCCCTGGAAACCACTGATCTCCTTCTGTCTCCCTGCATTCACCCATTCTAGCGCTTTCATGTAAGTGGGATCGTACAATATCTGTCCTTCTGGGTCTGACTGACGTCACTCAGCATAACGTTTTCAGGGTTTATCCACGTCATAGCAGGTGTCAGAGCGTCATTTCTCCTCATGACTGAGTAATATTCCACTGTGTGTATGTACCACATTTTGTTGATCCTTTCATCTGTTGATGGACACTTGGGTTGTTTTCACCCTTTGGCTTTTGTGAATAATGCTGCAGTGAACACTGGCGTATTACGCTTGTTCTTAAGCACCATACTGGTTACAGAAGTTCCTGTAAAATCGTCTGGACTGCCCCTGCCAAGGCTGTGCACTGTGGGAATGCCTCAGAGGGCACAGCTCTATCCTTGTGTGGCTCTTTCTCTTGAGATGATTAAAAATGCTGCCGTCAGGGGATCCACTGCCTGGCATAAGGGCACTAGCTTTGTGGAAATGCTGCTATCAGTTCCTGATCTTTTGCTGTGAAAGTTCTCACTGGCTCCTCTCTTTCTTCCAGATCTTTAAAAACCTGTCACTCAGATACCTAAATAGATCCAGAAGTAACACAGTGTTCCTAATTTTTAATAATCGCTGTACTCACCTCTTTCTGAATCACAAATCCACCAGGAGAAGGTCCTCAGGACCAACACAAAGTTTCTTGCTTCACGGCAGGTCTGCGATCCGGCACCAGGGTAGGAGCATGTACACGTGCCTGGTGGATGCCCTGCTGCATGTCCTCCCACTCAGTACAGGTGTGCACACACACACACACACACACTATTTGACCAGCTGTCTGCTTCTAGAAGATGACAGACACCATCTGAGGGGGATCTGGGGTAGGCATACAATCCAGGGTCAAATTCACATTAATCCCCAAGTTCTGCCTTTCTCGTCACTGGAGCTTTGATGTCCTGGGGAACCTAGGAAGCCATATGTAGGGCTTGAAGAGCAGGGCTGTCTTTACATCCCCTTCTCATGGGCCCCTGATCCATGAAACTCCTATTGACAATTCCAGGAGGCTGGAATCTGCCGAAGTCAGAGATCCCGAGTCGTCCTCTCACCAACTCATGCACTAAGTGGCTCTCTCATCAACAGGTGTTAGGTGGGCACTTATTAAGGGCGGGAGCCCTGGTGGCACAGGGGTTGAGAGCTCGGCTGCTGACCAAAAGGTCAGCAGTTCGAGTCTACCAGCCGCTCCTTGAAAACCCTATGGGGCAGTTCTGCTTTGTCCTGTAGGGTCGCTATGAGTTGGAATCAACTCAACGGCAATAGGTTTGGTTTTTTAAGGGCCAGGAACTATCTTAGATGCTGAAGATACCAAGATGGACCAGCCGCTGTTTCTGTCCTGATTTCATACTTACTGGTCTTGGCCTTCAGCCCCTCTCTGCTCCAGGCAGTGAAGGATGCAGGCTCAGTCTCCAGGTGCCTGGGCTAGTCCTGGCTAAGTAGACATGGAGGCTAGGCAGCCAGGAGCAAAGATAAAACCATGCTTTAGGGACTGTCTAGTGAGGACCCTACTGATGGGTAACCAGAACTGGGTTACTACTGCAGGCAGCCCATCCCTGCGGACCCTGCTGCTCCCGGAAGCTGGATGTAACTGCTCTCGTCTCTGCTGTTGCCAGAATGACCTCTCCTCTGTCCCTGCTCTTCTGTGTGACTCACTTCTTCAAAATCCTAGGTGGGGTCTCCATTGGCTGAGCCCACCTCGCGTGTCCATGTCCTGGCTGCCAGGGAGGCGGCAAAAAGGAGATTCTGGCCTTCTGAGTGGGGAGGGGGACTGTGTCTCTCAGCAAGACTCATATAGTGGGAATTCCCCTATAAAGTAAGAAAGGTCAGATGACTACACTCCACTGCATTTAATAACGATTTTAAATAAATTCATACTTTATCAGTCATAACAGCATCTACAAGCACATGAAAATAGAGGTATATATATTCACAGGTTATCCTATCTAGGTCATCTCCAGCAAGGGTCGGCAGACTTTTTCGGAAAAGGGTTAGATAGTAAATACTTTAGGTTTTGGGAACCATGTGGCCTCTGTTGCAACTACTCAATTATCATGGTAGCGCATAAGCAGCCATTACAGTATATAACAATGAGTGTGACTGTGTTCCAATAAAACTTTATTTATGCTGATAGAGACTGAAGGAAGCCTCGAGACTGTGGCACTAAGACACCCCTCTGACTGGAAACTGCAGCCATTCCGGGAAACCACCTTCCAGCCAAGCAATAGGCGGGCCTATAAATAAACAATAACACCAGAAAAGAACGTGCTGTGTAGAACAAACAATTATACGAGACCAAAAGGGCAACATTTGGCCAAAAGTAAAGATGAGAAGGCAAGAAGGGGTAAGAAAACCAGACAAAAGGAAACGGGGAACCCAGGTCGGAAATGGGGAGTGTCCACAGAGTGTGGGGATTGCAACCAACGTCGTGGAACGGTTTGTGTACAATTTGTTGAATGCAAAACTAATTTGCTCTGTAAATTTTCACCTAAAAGACAATAAAATATGGAAAAAAAAACCATGGGCACAAAGTTGAATTTCAGATAATTTTCATGTGTCATGAAATATTGTTCTTTTGATTTTTTTCCAACCATTAAAAAACGTGAAAACCATGCTTAGCTTGTGGGCTATACAAAAGCAGGGTGATTCTTAACCTTTTTGGAAGGTCTCAGGCCCCTTTAAGAATCTGATAGAAGGTATGGAATGGACCCTCTCCCTAGGGAGAAAAAGGCACTTACACACAAAACCTATGACCTTAGGATGTTTGTGGAGTTGCTTAAGGGGTCGATACACCCCAGGTTAACAACTCTGGTCTACAGACAACGTTAGCTGAGCATCTGGGCTTTCCACTCTTGGCAATAACTCCTCAGGGCCTTTGGGGTCTGTATCCTTGGTGGGGAGTCACTACTTTCTTTGACCATAACAAGTAATGGCGAAGCTTTCTCAGCTCCGCTGTGAAGTAACTGCTTTGTTACCCAAACTGCAGATGCCTCCAGCAGGATACAGTGAACCGTAATTAGGGAGCAGTGGTTATTAGGAAGGGGAAGGATTGCTATCAAAGCTTCATTCGTAGCCCGATTGGTGTCCCTCATGTGTTAATACGCTGGCAGAAAACAAGTCAGTGGACCATCAGGATTGAAACTCATCATTGGAAATGCTCTATTTTTATTTTTCAATGTTAATTTTCTTTTTTTAAAAAAATTTTTAATTGTAATTTAGATGGTTTACAGAGCAAAATAGTTTTTAGTTAAACAATTAATACACATATTGTTTTGTGACATTAGTTGCCAACCCCACGACTTGTCAACACTCTCTCCTTCTCGACCTTGGGTTTCCGATTACCAGTTTTCCTGTCCCCTCCTGCCTTCTCTCCTTGCCCCTGGGCTGGTGTGCCCCTTTAGTCTTATTTTGTTTTATGGGCCTGTCTAATCTTTGGCTGAAAGGTGAACCTCAGGAGTGACTTCATTTCTGAACTATAAGGGTGTCTGGAGGCCATACTCTCGGGGTTTCTCCAGTCTCTGTCAGACCAGTAAGTCTGATCTTTTTTTTTTTTTGTGAGTTAGAATTTTGTTCTGCATTTTTCTCCAGCTCTGTCCGGGACCCTCTATTGTGATCCCGGTCAGAGCAGTCGGTGGTAGCCGGGCACCGTCTAGTTGTACTGGAGTCAGTCTGGTGGAGGCCGTGGTCGTTGTGGTCCATTCATCCTTTGGACAAATCTTTCCCTTGTGTCTTTGGTTTTCTTCATTCTCCCTTGCTCCAGATGGGGTGAGACAAGTGCAGTATCTTAGATGGCCACTGACAGGCTTTTAAGACCCCAGAGGCAACTCACCAAAGTAGAATGTAGAACATTTCCTTTATAAACTACATGTTATGCCAGTGGAGCTAGATGTTCCCCTGAGACCACAGCCCTCAGCCCAGTATTTGTGTCCCTCAGGGAGTTTGGATGTGTCTGTGGAGCTTCCATGCCTTTGCCTGGGACAAGTTGCTGTGGCTTCCCCAGGATTGTGTACTGTCTTACCCCTCACCAAAGTTACCGCTTACCTATCGTCTATTTAGTATTTCCCCCTCCCACCCCTCCCATCCCTCGTAACCAATAAAGATTGTTTCTTTTTGTGTGTAAACCTTTTCATGAGTTTTTGTAGTAGTGGTCTGATACAGTATGTCCTTTTGTGATTGACTTATTTCACTCGGCATCGTAGATTCATCATTGTTCTGTAACATTGCGTAGTAGTCCATTGTGTGCACGTACCATAGTTTGTTTATCCATTCATCTGCTGATGGGCACCTAGGTTGTTTCCATGTTTTTGCTATTGTGAACAGTGCTGCAATGAACATGGGTGTGCATATGTCTATTCGTGTGACAGCTCTTATTTCTCTAGGATATATTCCTAGGAGTGGGGTTGCTGGATCATATGGTATTTCTATTTCCAGCTTTTTAAGGAAGTGCCATATCGTTTTCCAAAATGGTTGTAAGGAAATGCGCTATTTTTAAAGCTGCTGATGGGTACTGAGTATTTGCTATATCATTCCTTATCCCTTTTTGTATGCATAAAATAATTTACAAATAAAGATTTAAAGCAAAAAACAAAAAAAACAACCCACTGGATCTGGCCTGGGCTGGTGGTTGTCCTTGATTCAGGTTAGACTGTCTATGGGGCAGGGATGAACTCTGTCCCTGTGTGAACTTATTTGGGGCAGATGTGCTGGGCAGGGGAGGGCATTGCTGTGTGGGCTGTAGGTTCTTTCCAAGTGCTGTTAGTATCACACAGACCCTTGGCCCTCAAAGAGGAGGTGATTAAGAGCACGGACCCTCATGCCAGACTGCCACCTTGTTCCAGTCATGGACTCAGCCACTTAGCTGTGTGACCTTGGGTAAGTTACCTAACCTCTCTGTACCTTAGTTCCTTCATCTGTAAAATGGTACTTTAAAAGTACCTAATTCATAGGTCTGTTGTAGGATTAAAAGAGCAGATACTTGTAAAGCGCTGAGCACAATGCCTGGAACAATTTATTGGTGTTAAATAAAAACAGGAGAGGGCCCCTGCTTGATGGAGGCCAGTCTTCTCCCCGACTTGGTGCAGTTCCCTGGGGAAGCACTAGATGGCAGCAAAACATGACTCAGCTCAAGTTTTCGGGTTTCCAGTCAGTCATGTTCCACAAACACCAGGAAAGCACTGATGGCTTAGTGTCCGCTGCCCTGGGTGCTGCCCACCACCCCTCCATCCAGGCTGCGCTATTGTCCAGAGCACACGGGACGCATTGCAGTCCGTGCCTTTGTTCATACTGGGGTGATCATCACTGAAGATTTTCTTAGCCATGGAATTACTTTACCACAGGTTATGAATAATTTTGAGGCTTTTGATAAGTTGCTGTCTGAAGAAGTACCAATTGATACCCCACCAAGAATGTGGGGGTTTGTGTCCCTGTCTCACACTAATATTGGGTATTATTTTTTAAAATCTTTGCCAAAATAGAGAATAAGAAATGATACCTTTTTTAAATTTGCATTTGTTTGGTAAGGTTAAACATTTAAAACTATTGCCATTGCGATTTTTTAAAAAATCAAATGTTTTTCTATCCTTTGCCCGTTTTTCTATTGGGATGTTCACTTTTTTAAAAAGCTATGGAATACGGGTATTAACACTTTATTACATACATTGCAAATATGTTTCCCAGTTTTTACTTACTTAGGTTTTGAATTACTAATATCTTCATGTGGTTCAAACATCAAATAGTGTAGAAAGGTATACAGTAAAAAGACTGCTTCCCAAGCCTGTTTCCTATCCACCCAGCGCTCACCATTCCCCAAGGGGTTTCATGGTGAATAATCTTTTAGTTATTGCTCCAGATCATTTTTATCTCTGTAACAAAGCCAATACAAATATACGTCTTTTTTTTTTTTTTTTTTTTTTGGCTCAAATTTTAGCATGCATTGTGCCAGACCACACTGTTCTACATATTGCTGTATTTTTTTAACTTAACAATGTATCTTTGAGATATTCCTATCAGTTTACAAAGAGCTTCCTCATTATGTTTTACAGTATCAGAGTGTTCTATTGTATGTATCCTATTGTATGTATCGTTTATCTAACAAGCCTCCTATTGATGCATAGGTTATTTCCATTATGCTATTAGAAACAATGCCACAATGAACAACCTTGTATACATATGTCATATCATACCTATACAAGTGGATTTCTAGGGTAAATTCCTGGAGATGGAATTGTTGAATAAAGGGTCTGTGCGTTTATACTTTAGCTAGATACTGACAAACCACCCAGCTTAGGGGCTGTGCAAATCTACGTTCTCATCATCAATGTATCAAGGTGCCTGTTTCTTTTCAGCCTTGCCAAACGGCGTTATCAGACTTTCACAGCTTTGTCAAACTAATAGGTGAAAAAGTATGCTTAGGTGGAGTTTTCGTTAGTATTTCTCTCCTTGTGAGTGAAATTGAACATCTTTTTATATGAGTTGGAGACGTTTATATTTTCTTTTGTATGACCTGTCTAAATCTGTCTTGGAAGAAGTACAGCCAGAATGCTCCTTAGAAGCAAGGATGGTGAGACTTCGTTTCACATATTTTGGACATGTTATCAGGAGGGATCAGTCTCTGGAGAAGGACATCACACTTGGTAAAGTAGAGCGTCGGTGAAAAAGAGGAAGACTCTCAATGAGATGGATTGACACAGTGGCTGCAACAATGGGCTTAAGCATAACAACAATTGTGAGGATGGCGCATGACTGGGCAGTGTTTCTTTCTGTTGTACATACGGTCACTGTGAGTCGGAACTGACTCAACAGCGCCTAACAATGACACCTAGCAACAACGATGACCTGTCTTCATATCATTTGTCCACTTTTCTTGTTAGTGTTTTTCTTAATGATTTGTAGGAGTTTTTAATGTATTAGGAAGAGTAGCCGTTTGTGATATGTAGCAAGTTTTTTTTTTTTTTTGGTTTGTCATTTGTTTTTGACTTTTCTTTTTTCTTATTGCCATGGAGATTAAAAAAAAAATTATATGGTTGAATTTATCAATCTTTTAGGTATCATGGATTTTGTGTCATAATTAGAAAAAATTTCCCCATTTCAAGGTTATGAAAACTTTCTTCTTTGTTAATGCTTTTATGATTTCATTTTTTACATTTCAATCTTTGAGCCATTTGGAATTTGTACTGGGGTGCAGTGTGAGGATGGACCCCACTCTGTTTTTATCCAGGTGGGTAATTATTGTCTTACCACAACTTGTTGAATAGTCCATCTTATCTAGGACCATTATTTTCAAACACAACTTTATGAACTAGATGAGTACAGCATTATGTTTTATAATGAAAAATGTACAACTTAATGTCCAACAATGGTAAAGAGTTAAATAATTTATACTACATTCATTTAATAGAATTCTTAGTGTTTTCAAAGGTTTTTCAATTACATGGAAGAATTCTCATGATGTAATTATTGAAAGAACAGCAAATTATAAAATAATATGCCAGGTGACCCCAATTAAATTAATGTATTTACATAT